TTTTTTTTTTTTTTTTTTTTTTTTTTTTTTTTTTTTTTTTTTTTTTTTTTTTTTTTTTTTTTTTTTTTTTTTTTGGACGTTACAAGTACCATGGTTTCATCTCAACCTTACACTGATATTGCTGGTTTCCTTCTGGTCCTTGAACACAGATGGAAAGACCATGAAGTAACAGATTCTTACACCAAGTGACTGTGATGAGACGACACTGACCAACGATCTTTGTTTGATATACTGACATAAACACACTCTGACCTGACCTGATTACTGAAGCTGGATCATTACTTGGCCTCTCCCCATATGAGAAGCAAGCAGGAATTCCGATGGAGTCATGCATGGCTTGGTACGAATCCAAGAAAGCTGATTGTGCTTGGAAGTTGAAAATGGAGTTTGTCTAAACTAGCTAAAGATGATCACAGTAGAAAGCAGAAAGAAGAAGGCAGAGGGAGAGAGAGGATCAGAACTAACATATTCATTGCCACCATCTCAGAGATCTACTTCATGAATATGCTGACAAGGAAGTTCTTGGCAGTTTGTGATTAGCAAGCGGAAAGAACTCATTATCTGAACTGGCAGCTCAGAATGTGGAAAGGTAGGGACGAGGAAGAAGGAACTGGACGCATTTTATAATGGAAAAATACCTTCTGTAAGCTGTGTTGAGCATTTCCATGTGGAAAGGAAAAGATAGACGACTACAGAAATAAAACTATTTATTCTGCTGTACAACTGATTTGGCCTCAATAATGGTCATTAACGCCTCCCATTTCCATAAATCAGAACTTTTGTCATGCACGGTAAAAACAAGACAAATCCCATTTCATCCAATGTGAAAATCCCTCAAAAAAGGGAGGGGCAACAGAAAATCCCTCAACCATGTGAGTGAGTGAGTGAGTGAGTGAGTGAGTGAGGTAAAAAAGTAGGTTTACTATGTGGGCAGTGTTTATCTATAATTTAATGTGTTCGAGATTTGTATTTTTCACCTGGGTTTCTCCTCCACTTTGCAGTGGAACTGTTGGGAAAAGTGACTTGGCAAGGAATCTGAAATATACATAATGTGGAGATATATAAAGATCACTGTAGTTTAGGTGGCAAAGGAAATGGTCCAGCGTCAGTATTCACTTTATGAGTAACAACAACTAGGATTACTTTGAAGGTATAAAACAATGAAGCATAACCCCACTTGTCTGAAGCTGAACATGAAGCATACACAGACAAACCGAAAAAAATTACCAGCAGCTTCAACTTCCCTATATCCGAATGCCTTGAGAATCATTGTGTGTGACAATAACCAAGTTCAAATTATTATGTTGGCACCATCATCATCCAACAATTTTCAAAATGGCTCAAGATTGAAAAAATATATATAAACAAAAGGGTCTTGAGAACCTAAGAGTGCGTAGAACAAAACAAGGGGGGACATTTACTTGATAGTAGAAAAAATCAGAATCTACCCGGTTCCATACTTGGATAACTGAAATGAAATACACAGATCTGCTTTCCGTACAAGTTTTTCTGGCTATCAATGCAATGGGTTATCTATTATCCTTTGATAACGCCAGATCAAACAAACTTACGAACATTCTCAGACCGACTCTCGCACCTAAAGTGGCTTAAGTCGACAATTATTACGGTAATGTCATCCAGGCTACCTCTACTTAGAGCTAGATCTACAAGTTCCTTACAAGCAGCCACAAGTCTACTGGAAGTGGGTCTCTTCCTATAGCTATCATTATTCTCCTTAGGTGAAGATTCTGTCTTCATCTTTTTATGTCTGACCAACGATATTCTCCTTGATTTTGTTCTAGGACTTTCAATTTCACAAGAATAGTCATATTCAGCTTCTTCAGAGCTATCCATTGCCTTGTCACAGATCGGAGATTGGTCCATCCCCCCTCCTTTCGGTTGCGTGACCAAAGAAACTCTCCGCAGTTTTGATGGACTTGGGTTCACAGAGCAATGGGCATGGCTAGTACTTCTCAAGGAACATTTTGGTAGCCCAAAACTTTTATCCATCAACCTCAGTCGTGTCACGACATCAACGGTCTCTTGGTTCCCAACCTATGAAAATTTTGACCACTTCAAAGTTAATATCAATTGCCAAAACAACACAAACCATCTGTCACAACATCAACAGTCTCTTGGTTCCCAACCTATGAAAATTATGTCAACTTCAAAGTTTATGTCAATTACCAAAGCAACAAAAATCGTCTGTCCTCTGATTGATTTGATATTCAAAAATCAGTTTCCTTTTTGAGCAGGTTAACCCACTACTGAACAACTCCCCATGTAGAAATGAAGTGATTCAACTTGACAGATTACTTAAGACTCGCATCTATTTCATCTTTATGTTCAAGTTTATTCCCTGTTAATGTCCCAAGGACGCAGGTTTTACTGCAGGTAAGTTAACTTGTGAAGGTCAATCAGCTGCTCTCCTAATTTAGTATCTCATTATCATCTCAGGTCAGGAGTTCATTATGTTATGCTTCCCTAATAACTCAACCTACTTGACTACTTTAACATATGGTCCACAGAGTACTCTCACGTGATACATTTAGCTGAATATCACTGAAAGATAAGGGGACCAAGTACAGATGCGTATATATGTGAGTACATATACATTGCTTTAATAGTTTCTATTAAAAAGTTATTTTGCAAACAATCAGTTTCAAAACTACTTCCTAATACAGGTCTTGCCAAAAGATGATTTGACTACAACATATCGGATATGAACTATTGAAGAGATAATTCAACTTCTTTGGTTTTCTTTTATATAGGATTCTTTCAAATCATCTTTTGAAGAGCTGATTTCAACTTGTTTGGTTTTTTTCAAATTGATTCTCTCTTAAACTCGGCACTGGAAAAGATTTCGTACTTCATTTAATGAATCATCTTTTAAGAAGAACTTCATTCAGAACAATCAAAAATTTAAAAATTTTATTCCAAATTAATGTATTTTCCAATCTTCTGTAAGAACGCAATATTTATTTTCAGAAAATGAAGGAAACTCATCCATACCTTTTCCCATAATCCATCAGTGGCTAGAACAAGAAATTCCATGTCTTCACTAAGAAGTAGGACCTTTGAATCAGGCTCTGCCAGTACCCAGTCCTTCAAATGAGCATCTCCAATGCTTCTAGAAACAGAAAGAACTCCATGAACTCTCCATGCCCCCCTGTGAATCTCAACGTATCCACCCTGCATCACAATTTAGAGTTCTCTACCATCACCATCATATGTACCCATGAGAATCAAGTTCATTATGTAACCTTTTATACACACTATATTATATGTACCTTGTTCTCTATTCGTTTCCTTTCATCCTCCTGTTCAACTCTATGGTCTTTTGTGACTGCTTCAGCTACTCCTCCTCTAGAAAGAACAGCCCTACAATCTCCCAAATTGGAAACAACAAGTTCTTCTCCTTGTATCAGAGCTGTGACACAGCAGACACCACTGCCTAAACCCTAGAAAATTAAGGAATTTTTTTTTATAAAGACAGTAGTTCTAGATAGACAAGAAATTGCAACGTGAGGAGAAAATGTAGCTCCATTTGCAAATTACCAGATTCAAGAAGTCCCCGTCCGTTTTCAAGAAAGCAGCTTTAATTGCTTCCTCCTTCTGTGCAGATTCCGTGCAATTGGCCACCACTTCAAGTATGTTCTTGTGCAAATTTTCTGCAACAAATTTGGCTGCCTTCCTGCCTCCATGGCCATCATAAACGCCAAAAAAGGCCTACAAAAATAAAAGACGATTCATGACAGAAGTAAATTAAGGTGTTAGTATTTTAAGAGAAATGAAAGGTCCATTACATCATTGAAGTGGCCTTTCATGCAAGAAATGATCCTGTGAGTGTCTTCCATGAACCTCTTCTTGCCCTTGACGGAGAAAACCCCTACATGATCCGCAAAGTCTGCAAACAACAATTTAGCTCATGACTCAGACGGGAATATCCTAATTCTCCACACAACGAAAAAGAAGAAAAAAAAACGAAAAAGCTTAGGTGTGAACAGAGTATTTGAAGTTGGCCATTACCAGGGGAGGAGAGGGAATCGGTTCGGGGAGTGGTTCCTTCAAGTTTTCCGGCTTGAATCTCTCGTAAGACGTTAGGGATCTCAATCTTGGGAGGTCTTTTCCGCTTCAAGCAACAAGAGGAGTCGTTAAATCGCAAGCCAGAGGTTTGGTCCCTCATCTTCTTGCTCGACTGTTTTCGAAAGAGGATTACTGCAACGGCTATGAAGAAGAATGTGAGGCCAACAGATTAAATACTGAAACACACACACACACACACACACACACTTCATTCACGCGTTGTCCGTTGGGACGAATATTAAATCACCTTTCCAATTTAATCGCTCAATTTCCTTTTTTTTCTTTTAAAGTTCATATGACTTAGATTTTAATTATATGCTTTTTTTAAAAAAAATTACTATCAATTTTACTTTTTTTTTTTTTTTGGCCTATTCTCGTGACAGTTAAAAATGATATGATGGACTAAATTTATTATTAACTTTTTAAGAAAGTTAAAAAAAAAAATATTTAAAAGTTTGTAATTAATTAGGAGGTGTAATTTAAGAAGTCAATTAATCATAAATTAATGAAAAATGTAAGAACCCAGTTAGGCAGTTACGGTGCGAAGACCTGGTTGACTGTACACATTGGGGTTTCGAAGAAAGGCCGTGGTTGAAACTGAGAAGCCAACCGGATCTGTGAGCCTTCAAGATTTCAACGCGATCCACTTCTTAGTTCTTCCAGATCTTGCTCCCTTCGTCTGCGTTTCTTACTCTCGGTTACTCTAACCTTTTCACTTACTTCTCTCTTTCATCTCTTCTTTTTCTTCTATTTTCCCTTTCACCTCCTTCATCGTCTCTCTATGCTTCGTTTTCTACTTTTCCCTAAATTTTGAAGTCTTCGCTTAGCTGAACCAGTGGGAATCTTTAGTTTTGAACTTCCAATTCTTTACCAACATTATTTACTCATTATTTCTGTATTTCCTTCGTTTTGGGGGTTGACTTTTCTGGTTGGAACCAAATGGCGGTTTCAACAATTGGATACCGATTGAAGTTGTTCGTCAGTTTTGCAGATAGAGTCTGATGTCAATTTGGGCCTGCTATACTCTAAATCCAGGATTGAGGTTTGGATGTTAATATGGGCAATCCGTTGCGAAGGTCTATAATTCTATCTTTTCTTCTTAGAGATTGTTTTATCGAGTATGAAGCTTATTAATGGAATTTGCCCCTTTTTGGTTGTAGTCCCGCCAGTAGAGTACCCAACGACGCCATGACCATGAAGCTTATTGTTGCGGCATTTGTGGGAGTAGTAGTTGGCTGCTCCATTGGATTGTCATTTCCCGTGCTTTCATTAACTAAAGTATCACCACTTGCCCTCCCCCTCTTTAGGAATAAATGCTTTTACTACTGTTTTTCACCCCTTCTGTCTACGTTCTAGCAGTGCCCTGTTTCTTTCTTTCTTTCTTTCTTTCTTTTTGGTGGATGCAATTATATGTGTTGTTAATTTGGCAGCTAAATCTTCCCTCCAATATTTTTCCGACTGTTGGTCTCGCATATCTTAATGGAAGATCAAGAAGCTCAGACCGCTCCAGGGAGTTATTTCTTGATGGTCGGCCCCTTGTGAAGAATAGTCATAGCAACTCAAACCAAACACGGATATTGAATGGAACATCAAAGGTCATTCCGTAACTCTTAACAAAATCTCCATCACTTGACATGCCTTTTGAATAAAATATTACATGATGTATTTTGTAAATCTAGTCTTGTCCTTTTCTGAAAGAATTTTAACGAAGATATGGACACCGATGAGACTAACATGTGGTGTGTTGAGTGAAATTATTCAAATGCATATCATTTCAATTTTGTTTGCAGATTTGGGCCCCATCAAATCCCCGAGGTGCAGAAAGTTTACCTCCAAAAATCGTCTCTTCTGAATCAGATTTGTATGCACGTAGGCTGTGGGGCAATCCTAGTGAGGTGTGTATACTACCGAATTATGAAGATGAAGTTTATGTGACCTAATTTGCTAATAATAGCTGTTTAATGCTAATGTCCTATACCTTTGCTATCGTTAGGAATTCGGATCACATAATGGGGTTGTTTTAAGATACTACTTAGCGTAGTATTTTAAAGTTAAAAAGACTGATCAAAATGACATTTGCAGGACCTGATCACCAAGCCGCAGTACCTTGTAGCTTTTACCGTGGGTTACAATCAAAGATACAATATTGATAGAGCAGTCAGAAAGGTCTGTATATGAGTGTTTGTGTGTGTGTATATATTTGTGAGATTAATTATGCTTCTCAACAGTTTTCAGATCAATTTGTTATCCTTCTCTTTCATTACGATGGACGAACATCAGAATGGGATGAATTTGAATGGTCTAAGCGAGCCATTCATGTTAGTGCTCGTAAGCAGGCCAAGTGGTAAGGAGTCATTACCAATTCTTTTTCATACTGGTTTTTATTAGGGAACTTAGTTCATATTCTGGATGATGTATATTGTGTTTTAAATTTAGTTTTCTGAAATTCTGCCAAGGTGGTATGCCAAACGATTTTTGCATCCTGACATTGTTGCACCATTTGACTACATTTTTATTTGGGATGAAGACCTTGGATTGGATCATTTCGATGCGGAAGAGTGAGTTTGCCATGCTTTGGATTGAATATATTTTGTGTGCCCTACTCCTATCTCGTGTCTTAGCTAACACTAAATAATTGAATTCAGATATATAAAGCTAGTAAAGAAGTATGGATTAGAAATTTCACAGCCTGGTCTTCAACCAAGTAAAGGTTTAACGTGGCGAATGACAAGGAGAAGAGATGGAAGTGAAGTTCACAAGTAAGAGTACTAGGAGTTTGAGATTCAACTTTTTTCCATCAGTTCAGAATAATTATATTAATTATATTGAATTTGGTTCAGAGAGACTGACGAAAGACCAGGATGGTGCATTGATCCTCATTTGCCTCCCTGTTCTAGGTAAAATATGCTACTACTTTGAATGATCTGATTCCAGAAGTTGTAGGTTTCTTTTCTTATATACAACATTTACAATGCAGTTTTGTTGAGATCATGGCTCCAGTTTTTTCCCGTGAGGCATGGCGTTGTGTTTGGTATATGTTACAGGTTTCAGCTGGTTTCTGCCCTTTTTTCAAATGATCCCAATAGAGTTCCTCATCTTCTTCCACTGATGTATTTTGGTTTTTGGTTTAGAATGATCTAGTCCATGGATGGGGTCTTGATTTCCTCCTTAGAAGATGCGTGGATGTGAGTAGCCTAACTTCGTCTCGTCTTCTTATTTGCTTCGAACAGCATCATTAACCTTGATTTCTTTACAAACAGCCTGCACATGAAAAAATTGGGGTTATAGATGCCCAGTGGATTGTTCACCAAGGGCTGCCTTCGCTTGGAAGCCAGGTAAAGGAAATAATTGGTTGCTAACAGTTGAGTTTGCAGAGTAGAAGATTTAGCTGCTAACTACCTCCTCATTTTACTTTTCCGCTAGGGAGAATCAAAAAATGGAAAGGCAGCATGGGTAGGGGTATGTGATGTGAATTTGTTTATGTCAACCAACAAAATCTCATCATCATCTTCACTGTTGTTTACAATTGTATGCATGTAGTGATATGTTATGGGAATTTTGATAGGTGAGTGAACGGTGTAGAAGAGAATGGACAATGCTTCAGAGTCGGTGGGTAGCTGCGGAGAATGCATACTTGAGTGATGTTGAGGATGGGATCATCCCTTCACCTTAAGTAATCCATTAGAGAACAAAGCCGATAGCCATTAGAGTTGTACGATACAACACGTAGTCTAGCTCAAAATTTAAGTTCACTGATATGGGAGAGGCAAGTTGTTGAGTCATTACTTGGATCAATTTTTTATTTGTACAATTCATTTTGTAACACTATTACATAGAATTCAATTCTGAAAGGCTTGTGGAATGTAGTTGATGGGAGATCTGAACTGTAAGGAAGTGATAGTTAGTGTAGCCATATGCAGCCTCTCAGTTCTGATTTGAATGACTCGGTTGGTTCTGAAATATGTGAGACTATTGTTTGTTTTGGTACCTCGAAGCTTCCCAGCTGTGAGACTATAACATGGCTTCATTTCATTATTACAAAGAGAGGGGGAATTTAAATGAAAGCTTTATAGGCATAAATGCAACAACAAAATTGATGCACGTTCACATCCAAATCTAGTATTAAATGAAGCGTTATACTTCATACGCTTCATATTTGTTTTTCTTTTACTCTCCTTCCCAACCCTTTTATTATTTCCCCCCCATCAATGCAACGTCTTCCTACCAACAACTCTCCCCCATTATTATTTTTCCTTCCTTCGCCTTCTCTCATTAATAGTGTTTCACATATATTAAGGTTCAATTACTCCTAATTTCGCGATGAGGATTCATTTACTCCGACCTAATTAAATGTAGTAATAATGATTATGTGCCACTTTATTATACGCCATTCATGCATGCCATGCAAAAAATAACTTTTTATTTTCTGCCAAATGAGAATATATAAATATTATTATTCATTTTTATACTGATGAAAACAAATTATAGGCAGCATTACAGAAATGAGACGAAGCTAGGTAAGAAAGGAAAAAAAAAATATAATAATAATAATAATAATAATAATAATGTGGAAAAGCTGCCAACGACGTTAAGGTTTAATGTTGTGATGAGGTCAAGCGTTTTCGAGTTGTGGTGCATATAGATTTAAGAGTTCCGGGCAGTGGAAAATATCATCCAGAATCAAATTCTGAGGATGCCCATGAGGCAGCCCAAGCTGAGGTGGTGGATTAAAGGCGGCGTTGAAGTTGTCCAGGATGTGGTGAATAGAGTCCGGGTAATCCAAGTTATCCAAATCATCCACATTGTTAGCGGAGTTATTGTCATTTTTGAAGGCATCAAGGGACAAGTCGGAGTTGAAATTAGTGGTGGGAGTGGAAGAATTGGAATGGGATTTGGGGAAGAAGCCGTGAATTATCTCCTCTAACAACCCCGAATCCGGGGAGTCCTCCTTGGGGAGAAACTCGGAGCTGGAGTAGTTTTGGTGAAGGGGGTCACCCAAAGACTTGGATATTACTGGAGTGGTACAATTAATGGAACCTGGGTTGAGGCTGGAATTGGAAGAAGGGAAGTTGAGGAAATCGCGAAGGAGAAGCATGTCCAGAGTGGGAGAAGCGGTGTTAATCTTGTGTGAACCGGACCACACAAACTCCGACCCACGATTAGGAGTGCAAA